ACATATGTATTTCTGGTTAAACATGATTTGTGTAAAAATATTTACAACAAGCAAAGAACCTAAACCATTTTTAAAATACTTGGTCAATAATATTTTGTGTTCTGTAATATGCAAAAAAAATTTTTTTGCAACTTAGAAGGCCTTTCATAAGATTAGAAATTTTGAAGAGTAGGTCATCAAATAAAATATTGTGAAGATAATGCGTACAATGTGATTAGTGCAAATGTTAATACAAGATATGCCCATATAACAACATGATGACATTTGTTTAGCTTCAACTTAGGCAGCATCCAATGTGAAGGTTAAGGAAATATTACCTCCCTGAGTGGTTGGTTGAAAATGCCCATTATTTTGTTGCAGTATGTAATTTGAGGATACACATAAGATAATTTAAAGAATATATAACTTTGAACACAGCCATTTTACTCTTCAACCTTTGTTAGCTTTAATCAGGAGCTAAAGCTAAATCATTCTTTAGCTTTAATCAGTAGCAGGTCCCAGAATCTAGACCCTTCTTCTAAGTATCATGCACCTATTGCCCTACTTAAGTGACATGCTGAATTAATTAGAAATTTTGGAACATCAGCAAACAGGTGAGAACTAATATAAATAATATTATATTATACAAAGAAATGTAAATAATAATATATTATGTAAATAATATAAATAATATTATATTATGTAAAGAAAATACTTTGATAAAAAAGATAATAATGCTACTTTCACTGTACTTATATTTATGTGCAGAAAAACCAAGGTGTCATCAAGGCTATAGTATAAATATTATGGCTGCTGCATTTGCATAATTAAAAATATGATAATATTTTTAAAATATTAAAATTAGATTCTTCAATATAAGGTTGATGTGAAATATATAAATTTCTTATGTATAAACATTTTTATTTCCCAAAATTTATTTCCTTTTGCCCCTTCTTCTTAGCAGGAATGAAAATTCTCTCCCGATCCCTAAACTCCTATTCCTGGTGGCGACATCAGCCTGGGCATAGAAACTCAGAATTGCAAGTGTGTTCTTTTCAGCCCCAGACAGAGCTCACGTTGCAGGCCTCCAGAGCAGGGCCAACTGCAAAAGCAGCCTGATTCTCTGAGCATATGTGGGGAGAGCAGAGGACAATAGAAGAGTCCGCAGCTCATCCTCTCCTCTGAGGAACAGAAGCAGATCCTACATCCTTGAACTATTCTTCAAATCTGATGATGCTTCCTATCTGATCAGTGTCTCACTCCTCAGTGTACTCAGGTGATGTCTGATCACCCCGGGCTCTCTCTTCAGTTAGAATCCTGTCAGGGCAGTTCTGCCAGACTCCCTCACTGTCCCCGCTCCATGCTCCCTGTTAGCTCCAAGCACACACGAGCCCGTCCACCATTCAGAATCCACCTCAACAAACCACATTTCAGTGCATTCTATACTGAGGGTTATGTCCCAACCAAATAAAATCCTCCTCATAATTTTCAATAAGAGTCATGAGTAATTAGTCCTTTCACAGTGTTAAGGAGATTTTGACCAGCATTCTCTGATTCAAACACTCAAAATTAGTTCTGATCTGTCACAAACAAGAAACACTCAGTAGCAGGTCTCAGAATCAAGCTTTGTATATTAAGCACATCTGTGGCAACACATATTTTAGAAAATGATGGAAGGAAAGCACATTCAGGCTGTAATGACAAATGCCTGTAACGCCAGCTGCTCAAGACCCTTAAGCAGAGGAAACTCCTGCCCCAGGAGTTTGCTGGTTGCATAGTCAGCCCAGTAAGTCCTTGTCCCAGAAACTATGTAAACATGAGAAAGTGTCTAGAAATAAAAATAAAAGCAAACATGTGGATGTA